CGACATTTCCATATGCTCCATAGACCAATCACCACCCAACGCAACAGGTCACAAGCCACACCGTCTGTCCTATATTTTGCACATAACCACTTACAACATTCCAAAAAATCACCCCCTACCACCATAGTTACATCTAATTGAAGCGAGGAGCAAAACCAAAAGGCACGGGCGAAGGGGTATCGAAAAAAAATGTGTACCTGTGTTTCCACCTCATCTTCACAAAAGGGACAATTATTCTCCAATCGAATCCCCCACCGTATGTAAGTACATACGCACTGCCAAAATGTTCCTACATCCCTTCCAAATAAAATGGCATAATTTGGGTGGAACCTGCAATCTCCAAATGTCCCTCCAAACCACATCCCTATCATTAGCCATACTCGATTGACCAACACCTTTTCGTCCCAGCTCACAGTTCCTATTCATTTCTTGCGCCACCATGTACCCAGACTTCACTGAATATACTTCATTTCTTGTATAATGCCACACCAATCGATCCGGGCATCCAAACCGACTAAGTGGCATACATAAAATTGTCCGAACTTCAACTTCATTGAAACATAACTCAACCACCTCCCGCTTCCACTGACCCCCAATGTCCACTAAATCGGCAACAAGAGTGGGCATCTCCTCATGACGTGAGATGGAACGAAAAGTCCTTGGTATAGGCAACCATGGGTCTTTTCCAATTTGAATACACCTTCCATCCCCCACCCTCCATCGTACACCCGCCTTCAAAACTTTTCTTCCTTATAAAAGCCCTTGACGAAGAAGGAAAATATTTAGTTTGAAGTACTCGAGCCAAAATTGAGTCAGGATTACATATGAGCCGTCACCCCACCTTAGCTAACATAGCTAAATTGAAATCAATAGTCTCCTTAAACCCAAGACCACCAAACACCTTCTTTTTTTAAACTTTATTCCAAGTCATCCAATGGATACCCTTTCTTGTCCTCTGGTCCCTCCACCAAAATCTTGCAATAATTTGTTCAATTTCCTTTGCTAATTGGATAGGTAATTGAAAACATGACATAGTATATATTGGTAGAGCAGCCGCAACACTTTTAATCATAATCTATTTCCCAGACACCGACAAAAATTGTTCTGCCCACCCATTGATTCGCTCATCCAATCTATTCCGTACTTCGTGAACGCTTTCTTCTTCGATGCTCCAAAGTCTGCTTGAATCCCCAAATACTTCCCATAACCTTCCTGGTGCTTAATCCCCAAAAACTGTGATAATTGATCTTTCAATCTCTTCGAACATCCCATGCTAAAATGTACTGAGCTTTTATTCATATTAATGAATTGTCCTGACCCCATCGCATATTGTTAGAGCAGCGTCTTGACCGTATGTGCCTCACACTCCGTAACTCAACAAAACAGTACTGAGTCATCTGCAAATAAGACATAAGACAAAGGATCGGCCCCCACACTTACCGATATACCACCTAGTCGTCCCAACCTCTCTTCATTATGGAGCAAGGAAGAGAACCCTTCTGCACAAATAAGGAATAGAAAAGGTGACAGCAGATTTTCTTGTCTAATTCCCTGTCGAGGCTTAATATAACCTCTGGGCTCACCATTGACAACTACAGTATAAGAGACCGTTTTCACACAGGCCATCACCCATTGGCAAAACGTATCATCAAAACCCAACTTCAGTAGCATTGCATTCAAAAAAGCCCATTCAACCCGATCATAAGCTTTTGCCATGTCCAATTTCATTGCCATATAGTCAACACCTGCCTCAGTCCCATGTTGCATAGAATGAAGAAGTTCATACATGACTAGAATATTATCATAAATTTGTCTACCAGCCACAAACGCTGATTGATTCTGACTAATAACTTTGGGAAGCACTCTTTTCAATCTATTTGTTAAAACTTTAGAAATTATTTTATACACCACATTGCAAAGCGAAATTGGACGAAATTGGGACATTTTCCGGGGATTATCTACTTTCAGGATAAGCACAATATTAGTATAATTCACTTTATCTAACATTCTTCCCGAAACAAAAAAAGATTTGACCATACCAAGAACCACACCACCAACCGTCTCCCAGTGATGATGGAAAAAGCCCGCATTAAAAAACCGTCTAGGCCTGGTGATTTCGTAGGATGCATCTGATAAAGAACAGATTCAATCTCCACATTAGTGATTAGGGCAACCAACATAATATTATCCACCTCACCCACCTTAGTCGGCACACATCGCAAAATTTCCCCAAAATGCGAAGGTCGATCCACGGTGAATAGATAAGTAAAATAATCAACGACAATGCCATTGATTTGGTTCACATCCGTACACCATGTCCCATCACCCGCTTTTAGTCCTCGAATCATATACCTCCTACGACGTTTCAACGTTTGCGCATGAAAAAACTGAGTGTTCTTATCGCCATCTTTCAACCACTGTACTCAAGATTTCATGCGCCAAAAAATTTCCTCCCTTCGCAATGCCCTAGTAAGCTCTTCTCCCAAACCTCGAATCTGGTTACCATCAAACACCGGTTATTGATACGCATCACGGATTTCTTCTTTCAACCGGCAAATCACCTTTTGTTCATTACGCCCCTCTTTTTTCTGCCATGTCACTAACCCATGTTTAACCTTTCAAAGAGTTTGCATGATATGAGAACCTCCACGTAAGTCGCCCCAGCATGCACGCACAACCTCCTCGTTGACAACTATTAATATGTGGAGGCGTGTTTCTTAAGATGAGAATAAGAAAAATGATAACTTATTACAATGTGAAGTTTATTTCTAGACATAACTAGTCTCAAGTTCGGACCAGAAATTTTATGACTTTAAGAAAGTTTATTTCTTTATAGAAGATTAATTTAGAGATGTTTAACTGTGAGATATAAAGAGTAGTTTATTCTTAATTAAATTAGGGTTAAATAAAAAAATCCTAATTTAGTTGAAAATAATATCCTAATAAGAAATTAAAGTAAAACAACAAACTTGACTCTGCCAAAACCAGCTCGGGACAATTAGTCCAACTTTCTTGGTTTTAGTCGTCCAGTGGTTGGGAATTCTCTCCAAATCAAAAAATTGTTCACTAAAGATCATATACCCACTTGTTATACATGATTGTTCTCAGCAATGAAACATTATATCGCATCTGTCAAAAATTTGACAACCTTCCGGCTAACAAACACAGCTTTCTTGTAAACACAGGCTTGTTGAGCTACTTGATAAAGCTTCACGTCGAAAAGTTCATCAGAACAAATAAAATATAAACTCATTAGCTACCAATGAATCACTTTTTCAATAAAAATCCTTTCTTAATTGTAATTTTACACAACTAAAAGTCTAAAAATCTCGACCTGCATCACCTCTTAGGAATAAAAATGAATACATTTGTGATTTTCGTGAGATTATATTAATCAAGAACTCCACAAGTTTGTGGAAATCTCACTTGATTTGTGGTTCCATTTATGAGATTATAGGGATTGTAAACGAGATTTACAGAGGCATCTTAGCATCCTCGTGGTCGCATTTGTGTGATTCACTAATGTCAAAAATTAACTTATGACGTGTCATGTGAAATACGAATCTAAAATTTATTCCTAATCTCCTAACATGCCATGTGAAATACAGATCTTAGCCTCCTCATGGTCACCTTCGTGTGATTCACCGTGGTAAAAGAATTTCCTGTTTTGATTCTTAGGTTTTTTTTTTTTTTTACCTAACAGGATCCTATCAGAATTCTTTTGATGAGAATTCTAGAGATTTGTAAATTGTATTCGTTCATCGTACATTGTGCGATAAGTTTTTATCAGGTACTGTTTGTATTTAATTTAAATAAAAATATTTAAAATAATTTCTGATCGCACGATATACGATAAACAGATATAATTCATAAATTTTCAAAATTCTCGTAAAAATGATTTGACAAGAATTCGAATTCTTTTATGACGACTACGAATGAAGTCATTCTAGCTAGTAGCCTAGCCTAGCCTATTATATATACTAATCATCTGTCTGTACAAGAAATGATGACTGATTGAAGTGGAAATGACAAGAGCTATAGATGGGAGGATGAATGACTAGTTGGAAAGATCCGAGATGCTTGTCCCATATCGTGGGATTATGCAAAGCTATTCTGATATTCTTATCCTTTGGTTTTCAATTATTCTACGTTATATTTCCTGGATTTGTCTGTAAATTCTTGTAGAGGAATTTTAGCAAAAAAGTTTTATGTATTATTTAATTTAACGAAAAATTATATTTTTATATTAAAATGTTAATTTTAATACTATTTATTTTATCTTTTATTTTATCTTATTGTTAAAATTTAAAATTTTTAAATTTTTTTCATTATTTTTCTTTTCTTTTAAATGAGATAAACTTACACATAGCTTTAATGATATTAGTGGACATAATTTAGTAGTCCGTGTAGTTGAGCTAGATATATGTAATATATAGGCTATCTGTCGTCTTGATATGTACTTAATGATAATGTTTTTCCTATTTATTACATATAATTAGCGAAAACAATTAAATTATAGCCATTTTTTATTTAAAGAATACAACTTTAGTTAAATTTTGATAGCTACTGTAGCTGAACTTGTACCCCAACAAATAGTATTTGAACTCCTTCAAGTCGACAGTTTTTCTAAATTTGCACCTTTTTCAAAAGGTAATAAATGAGATCGTTTGCATCAGCCTTGACCTTTACATTATTTAATTTCTCGATCAATTTATATGTTTCAAAAGGATCAATTAATTTATATGATTATGTACTGGCTAAAGAGAAATGTTTTATTGGGATCAGAACACGGATAATATATTACGTGTTTTTATATAAGTAGTGGAAAATTGTATTTTTTAAGTTATTAACTTTTTAATACATATATCCTACCATTTGTATTGTGATACGTGATGTATCACTTCGTGTTTCAATCATATTGAAAAATCTTCTGTAACGAAAAGTAAAATGAATAATAATATGGAATTCATTAATACTTCATATCAAGTGGATCATCAAACTTCAAAGTTGATAATTCTTGGATTTAATTTCTACAATTTCTTCAGCATGATTGAACCTTTCATGCACCATACATTTTCACTTTGGACTATGCCGAATTCATACAAATTCATCCCTATTTTCATTACCAATATCCATTTTTCTCTTCTCAGTGCTACTACTAAACACAAAGTCCAAATTGTAAAGCACGGGAACCATTGTGACAGAACACAAAAACACCAAAACCGGTCCAAATATCCATAGCACAAGAGGCAGTGCTGCATAAAACAACCTGTTCCCCGCAGGTGTTTAACAAGTAACCCTTTTCTAAAAGCTCAGACACATACTCTGGAGTCACCAAGGACATGGGGTCTTGTGGAGTGTTAATTAGGATGTTCACTTGGTTTATGAACCTGATTGAAAGCGAGTGACACATGAATGAGAAGAGGAAAATTGTGAGTAGGGTAACGTATTTTAAGGCAACCATGAATTCCCCGTGAGCTCCGTAAACAGTGTCATTGAGCGGTTTCTTCACACTGTATGTGCTGCTGATCACGGCTGCTAGGCCGGAGCATAAGAGGATTGATGTCGTGGCCATTAGGGTTGATCCCATGATTGTGTTACGAAGGGTTTGGACGGCCAGGATGTTCTTCTTTTCATTGTCCTGTCAAAGATGAGGGAAAAAAAAAAAAGATATCATTTTAGAGTAGTAATCGACAATTTAAAAGCTATTGACTGCTCATTATCTTACATGTTATATGTGCTAATATTAGACTGTTAAGTTTACACTACATACTAAAATAAGAGGAACTATATCGGTAATCAAGATTGACAATTAACGCAATAGTATCATAACGTTGGTAAAAGATCAACTTTATCAATAATCAAGTTGCAACCACATAATATAAACATTTTCCAATGATTTTTTTTTTTTTTATATACCAACGATACTCCATGCTAAATCTATTTAAGCTACCAAAAAGAGAACCCAACTTAAGTGCAGAAAAATACACTTTTGTTTTTTTAACAAATAATATTATTTACACTAAAGGGGTGAGGAAGTGGATTAAGCCTTATAAGAAGTTAGTAATAATGTCGCTCAAATTCGCCTTTAACGAGAATCCAACCTAAAATCTCTCACTTACAAGTAAAGAAAAATATCAAGTAGCAAAAAATACACTATTTTAACCATCTTAACTAAATATAAATCTGCTTCGATGATTAATGCTTAGTTACTGACTGTTTCACGTTGTCATAAATTGCCATGTGGATACAGCATTACTAATGTTGGAGCTGACGTGTGATACAATATATAGAAGCCGAGTGGGTTCTTGAAGTGGAAGAAAGGTGATGCAACATATAGAAGCTGAGTGGGTCCTTGAAGTGGAAGAAAGGATACACGTATGGTGGCATGCAATTAATCTCACTTATCCAATATATGTTGTTAGTCACCTTGATTTCCCTAATTACCATGTCATGTACTTCCGGTGCCATAAAATAAAAGTGAACTATGTGATGCTCGAGAAAGCACTTCTAAATGGTTTTTACTTTTTTACTTTTTACTTGTGGCTAAAAATGATAAACCAAAGATCAATCCCTACTAATAAGTCACCTTGTGTATGCTCTGTTGGTTACATCTCACGTTGGATTAATGAACTGTGCAGGGATGTTCTTTACGTTAGAGCAAATTAAAATTCACCCCCTTCTCCACCATAATTTAGCATAGAATGCAAAATATAAGTGCGTACCTTAGAATGCAATATATAAATGCGTACCTTCATCATTGCCGAGACCCAAAATCGTCGTCCGCTGGTGTTTATGCCGATGATGGTTGATCGTGGGTCAGTCCGAACTTTATGCCATAACCAAGCATGATAAGAAACAGTTATGAGAAACCCTAGTGGCACAAGAATGACATCCAAGTAGCATTTTCTCCATTCCATCTCTCTCTCTCTCTCTCTGCGCCTTTGTTTAGGGCTTTGGCTGCTCCTTAGGTAGCTCTTATAATATTATTAACTTTCTCTCCACTTTGGTTCTTGAGCAGCTATATATATAATAAGTTTACAGAAGGAAATGAATGTGGACTTGATTAAATACGTAATGCAGTGGACAAACCTGGAAAAAATAAAATCGAATAAAATAAAAAATCCATGGCCAACAAGGACAAAAACGAACAATATCAAAGCAAGGAAAGCAAACCCCCCACTTTATTGCTAAATTACAGGCATGAGCCTAGTGTGGATGTGCTTTATTTTCCAATCTGCAAACCTCCTTTTTCCCTTGTGTTTCTTTATTGGCTTTTTTTCTTTTTAATTATTGGCTTTTTTTTCCATTGAATTTTTATTAGAACCCAATACGCCAATTTGGTGGGATATTTGTCCATAGACGTTTCTTTTATGGCTGATCATCAACTGCTGAGGTATGTCAATTATGATGGTATTAAGTTGGACGCAATTGCGTAATTGTTGCTTGAAAAAACAGAAATACATGTCACAAAGAAAACTAAATTGGTTCAGAAGTTGTGGTAGCAACATGTCTCAACTCCCAGCATATGTGACTGAATATGTAGTAGTAACATGGCTCAACTCCTTGCATGCTATCTTTGTATGTCATGCGTTTTGAAGTAATAAGTTCCATTTGCTTAAAAGGCCTAAACAATGAGCACCAACTATTCTTGGCATGCATCCCAATAAAATATGAACTCAAATTAAGACTAATTATAATGTATAGAAAAGGATTAAACAAAAGAGTGGTGTTATTCATACACTTATTTTTAGTATTTAAGATCCTTAGATCAAATGAATTAAAGATGATTAACTGCTATAAATTAACTGGGGGTGTGTGGTGCTATCCACATACCTTTTTTTACCTTTCACACCCCATATTAATTTATATCATTTGATCATCTTCAATTCATTTAATCCGAAGACTGAAAATTTAAAAATATGTGTGGAAAATAAAAACGAGTGTGTAGATATTAACGCCTTAAATAACATTTGGGGTGTTATCATATTTCTATGAAAACTAGGGCAACTCAACCGCTTGATGATGAGACTGGATATTTTCGGATTTGTGTATACAATTCTCAAGTGGATTTTTCGTCAAATTGTAAATTAATTTTCTGTACCACACAAAATAAGAAGGGTGTTAATGATATGTAGACCCAAATACAGGGCTAACATAAAGAGTGGAGGGGCATCATAAGATTGTGAGAGTCTGACAAGGCGCAGGAAAGAAAAGAAATGATAAATTGTGAAGTAACGAAGGAAGAAAGAGCACGCCTTCTTCGTGAGTCGAGAGGAACTGTGCACGCACTGCCCACTAATTTCAGGGATAGACTAATGTTATATAGAGAGAGCCGTTTTCTTTTCGGAGTAGGATTTTTATTTTTTTTTCTCTAAATTTCTCTCCCTTTTAGTTTCCTCTTATTTGAACGAATTTGGACACGTTAACATTTAATTTTAACTTCTTTATAGAGAAAAAAAATAAAAGAAGAAAGGAAGAGAGGAGGGAGTATGAGGGGAGGAATTTAGAGGGGACATATATCTACTACTCCTATTCCGTTCAACTTTGATACGTATGGTCTACTTTTAACATATGCTAATTCACATCAAGGATCATCGTTGGTCATATATAACAACCTAACAACTAATACTAGGGGTGCAACTTGGACGGGTTGGAAGGTCAACCCAATCCTAATCCAACTTTTACAATTCGGGATTGGGTTCGGGTTGGGTTTTAATCGGGCTCATTCGGACTCAGGTTTAATCGGATTCGGGTTTACGTGGGTTGGGTTCGGATTACCCAACTTTTTCAAGTTTTAATCGGGTTCATGCAAAGTTTGAATTAAAATACAAGAAATACCAAAGCTAGTACCCAACTCAAGTCTTGTCCTTCGAAGCTCTTGTAGAAAAACAAGGCTAGTACCCAACCGGACATAGATTACAAGCTTCCTTCGAGCCAAAATCAAAGTGCAGCTACCAAAAAAATAGTTGCTTTCTGCAACTCCATGCACTTTTCTATCATAATCCATCGAAAGTCATTAGTGAATCCTCCACGAAGGTGCAAAGGTCATTGAGAAGCATGTTGCACAGCTCAACCCAATCGGGTTTGGTTAATCAAGTTGGGTTGGGTTGAGTTGGGTTGCGCAAATGATCAACCCAACTCAATCCAATCAATGAACGAGTTCAAATTTTCATTGATTGGATTTAGATGAGTTATAACTATAAAAAAAAATACGCTTGTTCGAGTTTAAAGTTGAGTTGGACATGGACGGGTTTGAGTTAGCCCTAACCCAAGTTGCACCCCTCACTAATACTGATCTTTTTCTGTTGGATTGCTAAATGTTAATACTTGTTGGCCCATTTTTTACCACTGGTAATCAATCAAAATAAAATAAAAAATTAGTCGCATGATCAATAATATTAAATACTAAGTCTTATAGTGATATTGCACAGTGTAGAAAAACATGAATGATACGCTGAGAAAAGGAGTAGTGCTAAAGTATGATTAGGACATTCCCAATTGCATTATATTAGCTGGTCTAAAAGGAAAAGGCTAGGTTGAATTGTTTATGGATGTCCTGTTCCATTTGGTGAACGAAGCTCTCACTCACTTTGTCAAAATGTGATTGTCTGTTTGTCCTTTTTCCACTCTTATTTTGCAAGGAGCTGTCCAAACATTAGTAGTGGGATATGAGCATGATCAACTTAGGATAATAAAAAGATATTCAAAAAGCATCATCTGCATGCATGGACACCAAAATAAAAACCTCCGAATCCTTGCTGCACCAAAATTATGCAACCTACATTACAAAAGCAAAAATTGAAATGAATTGCATCTATATATGGAATTCGTTTTCTGATGAAGACCAGAAAGATGTCAAATCAATGAAATATGTAATGGGGAGCGTTAAATAGTAGGGGTGGCCAACAAGTATTGGTTATGTGGCTTCTGTCATCCACATAAGACCACTGCATATACACAACATGGGAAGAAGCATTCATATAAATCTACAGGTTCCTAGCACTCCTGCACTGGAAAGAAACCTAATCACAGAGACTTTTGTTAGTTTCTTCACATAGTTATCTTTCAATTTCCATAGTTTGTACATGTAGATAACCATTAATATATTTAGTGCTCCAATACATATTTACCTAACTTGGGATCATGTTTTTGTTGGCATGGGTTGACTTTTCTGTATTTTACTGATTCGAACAGTGTCTGTTAGAAATTACATGCTCTATTTTTGTAATTAAGTTTCATTAATTACCTCTGTTATTGGACACCCAGTTCCAATTTAGCAGTGTTTAGCTTCAAAGTTTGATAAGATTGACAGACGTGGACGTACCCATTTAAAAAGAATATGCTACTTGAAGATTCTTAAAATTCTTATTCATGTGTGGTTGTTAAATTTCTAGAAGTTTTATCAGAATTTTTATGGATTATATTCCGAAAGGGTTGTAACTTGTACCCAGAAGATAATTTTATATCTGAATTCTGAACCAATCCTTGTAAACTTGTCTTAGTTTTTGTTAGCATAACATATATATACGTAAAGAAGTTAATAAGATATGCCTGTGATCAGCTACCTAAAATCCATAGCAGATGTTCTAAGGGATCAATCATGACCATGACAATAGCATTTTGCTGGTTATGCGGATTCTCTGATACCTTTAAACTTCATATTGGCTATATATGCATAAGTGGTATAAACCAACTTTTTAATCGTACAATTGTCAACCGTGAGATTTAAATTTAGAATCTCTAATGGTTATTACTTGCTAGGCTAAATAGCATCTTCCACCGAAGATTCAAGTACGCATGAAAATTTGATTTGACTATTTATACTTGTCGCCAGTTCATTACATGTGGCAAGCATTTACATATTGAATAGTTAGTTTACTTTTTAAATACGTAACAAACATTTATTGGAAAAATGGCGCCATAAAAATTATATCTTGATTGCAAGAGAGAATCTCATACGTAGGCACTGGTGGAACTAGTTAAAGCTTAGGAGACCATATGAACCTTCTCACAATTCGAAATGTTGTATTAATATATGCGTATTAATATATGCTAGAGATTGATGTAGCTTGGCTTTTATATTTATAGTTGACCCTCCTCACAAATGTAATTTACTCATGGTTGAGGGTTGAACACTTAATTTCATAATTTCATTCTTTGCCTCTTAATCAAATAAATGATACATAAGTTCATGTCCTCATACTATTTCCAATTATTTTTATTCGAATTCGCACCAAGGTGCATATAGGTATGATTGTTTTTCGTCATTGTTATAAAGCATCATCTCCTATAATGTGATTAATTAAATCATAACGATATCAAGGTTGGCAATTTGGAACATTTTTAATGCTAGATAGGTTGATACTTATTATCATGTTCTAAGTAATTTTCATATATAAGCTCAATTATCATAATTTTATAGTCACTTAAAACTGACACTCCTTAACAGAACTTTTGATTCCGCCACCGTACGTAGGATGCTCTATTATTCTAATGTCTTGTTACTAGACACGCCATCATCCACCAACAATTTGGCGAACTAAAATTTGTTACCTGCATGATATGGTTAGTAGAACATATATGTAAAGAAGTTAATAAGATATGCCAGATATGCCTTGTGATCAGCTACCCAAAATCCACATCAGATGTTCTTAGGGATCAATCATGACTATGACAATGGCTTTTTGTTGGTTATTCAGATTCTTTGATGCCTTAAAATTTCATATTGGTTAATATGCATGAGGGAGACAATCTTTTTTTTTTTTATCTTACAATTGTAATCGTGAGATTTAAATTTAGAATCTCTTGTAACAAAATAGATGATTACTAGACTAATGGTTGTTACTTGTTGGGCTAACAAGCATCTTCCACCGAAGATTTAAGTATTTATGTCGATATGATTTGACTAGCCATTGACGCTTGTCGCCAATTCACTACATATGGAAAGCACCTATTGAATAATTGGTTTACATTTTAAACACGTAGCAAACATTTATTGAATGAGTGATGCCATCAAAACTATATCTTAATTCCAAG